GTTCGTACCCCACGAGCGGTGCTCCTTCGGAGGTCCAAAGTTGTGATCCCTCCATATTTCCCTTATGTATCGTGGGTGGGAATCCCACCTTCCTTCCCTTCACCTCACATGACCTGATCCCCATGATTCGGCCCATCCCCCTCCTTCGGTCTTCCTCTTTCCTTGCCCAAAAGACCTCCCATAAGAGTCGGCCACCCCACCACCGTCAACACGAAATGCCCTTCCTGATGTCCCCTCATCCGATAACCCTATTCCGCCCCTTTTTGGAGCCCTAGGAGGTGGCTCTTGACCCCCTCATCTGATGAGTGGCTCACCTTGCCCAAAATACCTCTCATAATGGTCGGCCGCCTACTGCCTCTGTCAAAAAATTTCATCTTTATTGTCCCCTAATCCAGAGACCCTGATCCACCCTTATCAGAGCCACAGGAGGTGGCTCTTGATGAAAGAAACTCCCCTCGCCAAACTCCTCTTGCTTCGCTTCGGCCAAGGGAATCCCGGTCAAATCTTGGTTAAGGTTAGCCATCGGAACCACTCATAGATACAATTGGAGAAGAAGATTCACTTGAAGACTCATTTAGTGATGGGATATGATTGCATTTTATATGTTTTTTATACTTTGGAAGTTTTGTTGAACTAATATTTTGTGATTTTCAACTTTGGGACATGATTTGGTTGCATCTATTTTCTTCATTTCAAGTATTTCATATATCATTTAGATGTTTTTATTGTAAGATACAATATTACCATTATTTTCCTTCAAAAACCCTTAATTTTTTATTTACGCAATTCTGTCTCCGTGAGGCTTACGCCTCAGACCGCCTCGAGGCTCGCCTCACGGACAAAAACCGCCTCGATGCTTAATTACGCAATTTTAAACCTTGATCATTAGCCTTATCACAATAGCTTGTTGTTGGCTTAACAAACTCATCTTCTCAGTTCATTTATTTTGAATTTTGCACAGTTTACGAAATATTTTGTTCACAATGTTAATTTATCTTTGCAAACACTCTTCCGATGTAATTAATATTAAATCCATCAATCTAGCTTATTGGAGCATGTTCTCCTCGTTGTTGGGTATGCCCAAATCACCCAGGTTCATTTTTTCATTCTTTTCTACAAAAATTTCTCTAATACATATTTTTTTTGTACTTACATCCATCTTATGTCAAAAAAAAATTAAAAATAGGAAGAGCAATATGGGAAAAAATCTTACATCACTCCAATCTTCATCTGTCAAATACAGACAACAAGTATTTCGAAAGGAATACAAAAAAATTGGATAAAATTTGATAAGAAGAGGCCAATAAGAAGATGCTATTGGCAAGAACAAAGATGCAATCCTCAATGTTAGAGCAACCAGGTACAAGCGGGACTATGTAAGCATCGAATAGCACATTTTAAGTTAAGTCTTGACATCACTGGAGAAAACTTACGGGCAAGAGAACAAACTGAGACGCCTTAAAAGTAGCAGCCTCGATCACCCTTCGCGTGTGGGCGATGTTCCGCGCCTTGTCCGCTATCACAGACAGCTAACACAGAGCCATCTTAAACTGGAATCGAAACCAGGATCAAAACACCAAATCCAAGACCCTGAAGCGAACGAGAAGTTATCTCAGGTTACCTTGGAAACAGGAGGAATCGGAGGCTGGACGGCTGGAGGAAACCTTGCTTCATACGCCCCGTAGGCCGAGGCCCTAGTAGAAATTGCAGCAAAGCGACGAACAGGGAACTAAGCCAGCAGCTTCACTGAGATCTTGCTCGCAGTGTTAGGGCTTTGATACTTCACCATTAAACCACTGTCTGACCTCCACCACCCAACCGTCACCGTTGGACTACTACTGCCTGAATCGCCACCGCCCTCAGCCACAAATATCCAAATAGACGCTACCATACTTTTTTTGTGAATTATTCTAACACTTGAATCGTCAAATAAGGGTGCGTTTGGGATGACTGCAGCTGTCGATAAAGCAGGTTGTGAAATTGTTGTACATAAAGTTGTTTTTTAAAGTTGTTGTATAGAAATCAATCAATTTTGTTAGGGTAATATTACTGTCGAACTGCTGTGCTGCTGCTGTTTGACAACAAATTACCTTGTTACCCTTACATTGATGGCGAGTGGAACTAACAAGAAAATTATAAAAAAATAACAATAATTCCCCCAAAAAAAAATCCCAATAGCTGCACTGAATATTCACTAACAATAATGTATTTTCAATTGAATAAGTTAGAAAAACAAAAAGCAAAAACAACAGAAAAAGGAAGCAAGGCGATGAAATGTCGCCGGAGTTGAATGTACAGAGAAAAAAAACCAGATAGCCGGGAATCACTTCACTCCAGACTCAAAATTCTACCGGCGGCGGCGAAGAAGATATGAGTTCGCAGAAAGCCCTATCGGACTCCGACTGGTCCCGACCAGCCACGAATGGGTAAGCAAGAAGCTGCTCAACCGACCAACGCTTACTCGATTCCTTCTTTAGGCATCGTGATATGAAGTCCTCTTCGACGTTGCTTAATTGATCAGCGTTTAATTGATTACTTCTGTAGGCATCGTGATATGAAGTCCCGGAAGTCGCCGCCCGAATTAACCGCCTCCATCCTCTTCGACGGCTTGCTCCACATCGGGACCTTCGGCTCCCCAATCATAATCCCGGAAAACGAACCGCCGGAAAATGAAGATGAAGAAATGTCTTCGGCCATAGTGAATGAAATAGCAGAGAGGGAAATCTTGAAGACAACAGATAACGAACTGATAGCAATCTCAGTGGAGCTTGAAAAGGTCGCGTTATGGCATTTACGGCATTTTTGCGCTGGAAATTGCTGAAAGCAGCTGACCGCGGGAGGCACCGAGAGGTCGCAGAAAGCAGCCACAGCCCGCGGAAATTTTTCTGACTCGGCTCTGCCGCAACGCCCAAACGAACATTTATCAATTTTTTATAAAGCAAAGCAGTCGTGAAGCAGTCCCAAACGGACCCTAAGTTCAGGGCCGGATGAAAATCCTTATAACCAACAATCACACGGTGGAATCATTTATTGTGTTAGGACTGGTTATTTTTTCTTTTCTTGAAATTTTTACATAAAATTTTGTGTTATATGTGCTCTTTTTTTATGGATTTTTTGTAAAACTAAGATGAAAAATGCACGTAGGCTTCGTTTGGGACGATTTTTTTATTGTCTACTAAAACTCTGTTTTAGTACAAATTTTTTTATTTTTGTATTAAAACTCCGTTTTATAAAGCAATAAAAAAGTCGTCCCAAACGAAGCCTTAATCTTCTGCCGTGAATTATCTATCCTCCAATAATATTATTTTTTTGTTGAATATCTAATAATATGATGGTGGCGATCATAGGTGAGCAACGACAACAACCAAAGAGTCGATGACACCATTAATGGTGGTGTGGCTGGTGATGACAGCCGATTGTGATAATTATTTTTTAAAAACACTTAAATCACTTCAACGTTATTTCGAGTTTTTTTTTTAATCATTTGATTTAATTTTACAAATAAATATAAAAGTAGTTAACACATATAATAAGCAAATATGCTTTTAAAAAAATGAAAAATAAAATATAAAATTGATCCAACAACATATTTTTTGTGTATTGTTCTCCAAACTATT